GCACACCCCCACACTTCTATGCCGATGAAAATGATATTTTGATTAGACTTGTACATTTGTACCTCATACTTGAGTCCTCTCGTAACCTCACTCCCATCACACTTTGAAACCATTCTAAATTCACCATGTCTCTTCATATTCCTGTTCCTTCTTATATTCCTTTATCTCTCCTCGTCTTCTCTCTTCACCTCCTCTTCCTTTCCATTCCTTTGGTCTGGCTCCCTCAGATCTCCAGTCCGCTTCTCGTTCTCTTCTCCTGACTTCCTCTTCTCTTCCATTTTTTCCCTCCATAGACTCTCGAACCTTATTTGTCTGTCTATCCACCTCTCTCCCTTTCTGCCTTTCTCTTTAACTTTTCCCTCGTCCTCTCGTCTATGTACATTTTAAATGGTGGTGTAGTTACCTCATTCCAATCTTCATTTGGGTCAGGGTAGACCGTTCTTTTAGTTCTATATTTCCTCGTCCTGATGATCTCGTGAAATTTCCCTTCTATCTTCTTTTCTTGCAATACCTTTATCATCTCTTCCATGATTTCATCATCCGTCCTTTTCCTCAACTCCACAAGCCATTCTCTATTCAGCTGTTTCTCTTTTCTCGCTCTCCTCCTCTCCTTCTCCATTTCGTCCTTATTCAGTGCTAGTCTCAGTTTCTTATACTCAAAATCCCCCTCTGGCTGCTCCCCCACCATGTCATGTGGCAGAGGTATTCTTGTCAAAATTTCTATACCTTCCCTCTCCTCCCGGTTCTGTTTCTCAGTTTTCTCCTTACAATCTAAACATATGTATCTATTGTTGGATAGGAAAAGATCCGTTTTCTCGTTAAAACAGCTCGGTTTTAAACCCTTGTACTTTCTCTTTTGTTTCGTCCAACCTGCTGCTTCATCGTTTCCTTCCTCCTCCTCCATCCTCTTCTTTTCTGCCTCTTCTTTCTCCTCATCCCCTCTTCTTCCATTGCTAACGGCCCCACTATACGTTGGGTAAATTCTTGTTCCCCTTTTCCCTCTATTCACTTCCTCTTTTCCTATCCTTATATTCTCTAATTCCCTTCCTATCGGTACTTCCTTGTCATCCCACACTTCCCTTCTTTCCTTCCTCGGCAGACGTGGGAAGTCCCTGCTTCCTTCCTCTCTAATATCATCCAATCCTCCCACCCTGTCTGTTTCTATCTCTCCCATATTTCTGGATACAATCCCTCTAGCCGTTTCAAACTCCACATTACGATAAGCCATTATCTTCCGTATAGCCGCCTCCTTCTGCCACATCCAACAAACTCTGGCAAGGGATCCATGATTTCCCCCACAGTTGATACATCTCGGACTCCTCTCACATTTATCATGCTCTGCCTCTCCACACACCGGACACCTTTTAACACGCTCCTTACACATTGTCTGCATATGCCCGAATCTAAAACATCTGAAGCATTGCTTCACCGGTTCCACAAAGGGTTCTATTCTTATCCCCACGTGTCCTTGTCCTATTAACAATCTCGTTGGCAGCGAACTGCCTCTAAAAGTGATCATTATTGAACGCATCGGTTCATACACTATCTTTCCGTCAGAAACCCCCTTTCTCTTCAGCCTTTCCAGTGTAAACTCCCCCTGTCCTGGCATGGCTTCCTCCTCCAGCTCCTTAATTGAATCTTCCCATTCGAAAATAATACCACGCCTGTACTGCATCCTTCTGGGTAGGAAAACCGATAACTGCCCTTCCCTACTGCTATATTTCCTCAGGAGGTTATTAGCCTCTTCTTTACTCTTCGTCGTTATTTCTGCTTCGTTCCACCCGATCATGCGAACGCTCACTATATGCACGCCCGTCCCCTGTACGAACCTGTAAATTTTTATTAAATTATTTCTCTTCGTTTTATTTTTATTTCCGACCTTAAGGACGCAACAAACCTCATAATTTTCCCTATTATAACCTTCTTCATATAAAACTAAAGTCCTTTCCCTTCTTTTCCTATTTTCCCTATCACCACTTTCCACGTGTTGTGCGCAATTAATCGTCCCACCACGTGTTATTTCTTCCACATTTTCTTCATCCTTATTTCTAATAGCCTTATTCCTACATTCTAATATTTTATTTCTATTAATGTCTATTCCTATTGTATCAGAGTTCCTTTTACCTTCACTACAGTCCTTCTCTCCTTCCGCAAACAACTCTGCACTTTCCTCACTTGTTTCTACACAACTTACTTCTTCACGCTCTCTATCAGAATGGCCGTTTTTTCCTCCTTCGTCACTCACTTCCCCACGCCTCCGTGGCGTCACCATTGGCGCCACCATAGCCATGGCTACCAATTCTTGTCGCTCGTCCCCCAGAAATTCCCCAGCTGCCTCTTCCTCATTGGTCCTTTCTGTCCCTTCAACTATTACGTCACTTCCTGCTTCTCTTTCCTCCCTCTTCTTCTCCTTCCTACCTCTTCCTCCCTGATCTTCTTCTTCCTCCTCCGCTTTTCTTACCCTCTTCTTCCTCTCTTCTACCTCCATTCTATCACCCATTGCGTTTGCTGTTTTCTCCTCCTCACTCTCCTTATCCTTACATTCTCTCTTGGTCGCCTCTAAGGCCGCTTTTTCTTCCTCTGCCAGGTACTCTAGTGCCCAGTCTTTCCTCAAGCTTTTCAATAATTTGCTTTTCTCTCTTTCCACTTCTTTTCTTCCTTCCTTTACCTCCTCATTCATCTTTCCCATATTCTTTCCCCTTTCTTCCTCTTCAGAAATCATTTCTTCCTCCCATTTCTCTTCCTCTCCTCTCTCTTCTTCCACTTTCGCTCTTCTATTCATTTCCCCTCTTTCCTCTTCCCTTCCCGCTTCCCTGGTTTTCGGCCAACCAGGGGGCTCTTTCACTTTCATATACTTTCTCCTTCCTTATCCAACTATTTCTCTTATTACTATTATATAAAACTAACTATTTAGCCACTACTAATAATCGTTTAAATTTTTGTCCAGAAAACCACCAATCACAAACCAATCAAACGAACAATATTTCAGGAGCTCATGCACACGCGTGTTACTCTCTCGCCGCCATCTTGGTCATCCGTCGGCTTTGGCCAAACTATGGCTCATTGCGCCTACAATGTTCTCTACTGTGGCGTGTAAGCGCGAATTCCCTATAGGGGAGTTGGTAGCACGCTAGCGACGCTACCTAGCGTAGCGTGTAGGAAGTAGTCGAGCGCGGGAGAGAACGACGACGCCGTTCGTCATTTCATTCGTTCGCCATTAGCCATACGCGCAGTACGAGTTATATGTCCAGTCCTGAATAAATAGTTGTTGAGTTATAGAACCTCGTGTATTTACTCTAAACGCTCCCACAATTGGTGACCCCGACGTGATAGGTAACATTCCTATTTTTCTTTTTGCATTTTACGTTTGGGAAGCGTTTTTCTTATCGAAGTCAGAGACAATGGCACACGAGGGTTCTGGGAACGCGTCGGTCGCGGCAGTGAGCGTGAAAGTGCCTCCTTTCTGGGTAGAAGAACCCGAGATGTGGTTCGCTCAGTTAGAGGGACAATTCCTCGTGGCCGGAATAACGGTGGACGCGACAAAGTTCGCATACGTGGTCGGCAATCTGGAGGGTCGTTACGCTAGAGAAGTGGCAGACATTATAAAAAACCCGCCGATAGCGGACAAATACGACACCTTGAAGAGGAAGCTTGTGGCAAGATTGTCCCAGTCAGAGGACAAGAAGCTACGTCAGCTACTGGAAAGAGAAGAACTGGGGGATCGCACTCCCAGCCAATTTCTAAGGCATCTCAAGAGTCTGGCAGGAGAAGCGGTACCGGAAAAATTATTAAAGAGCATTTGGTCCGGTAGACTGCCGCAGTCGGCGCAGACAATACTGGCAACACAGGAAAAAGCACCATTAGAAGACGCCACGATTTTGGCGGACAAAGTATACGAATTGGCGCCACAAGGCCCTCAAAGCAACATGGCAGCGGTAGAGAAGCCATCCGGAATTTCCGCCATTGAACGGAAGGTGGAAGAACTAACCAAGATGGTGGAACAGTTGACGACCAGGTCGCGTGGTCCATGGCGAAAAAGATGGCGCGGTAGTTCCCGCGACAGGAGCGCGAGCGGGAACCGCGTTCGACACCAAAACGACAAGAAAAGGTATGATGATTGTTGGTATCATTATAAATGGGGCAAGAACGCACATAAATGCGTACCGCCGTGTAAATATGCACCCCCGAGGCAGGAAAACTAGAAAGTCGGGCCAATGTAGCAGCAATCGGGCCGACAGAAAAATCGTGCCGCCTTTTCTTAACTGATCGAAATACGAAATGCACCTATTTGATAGACACAGGCTCAGATGTGAGCGTGTACCCCGCAAAGCGCTGTAGGGAACGTCGCAGAAGCGGCGAATACATTTTGTACGCGGCAAATGGTACACCGATTAAGACATATGGCAATATGATGATGGATATAAACTTCGGGTTAAGAAGAAGCTTTCCATGGAAAATGGTGGTAGCTGACGTGGCCAGGCCCATTATTGGGGCAGATTTCCTCACACATTATGGCTTATTGGTAGATCTGAAAGGCGCACGATTGGTGGATCAGGAAACCAAGCTAACTGCAAAGGGTGGTTGGCAATACACCTCAGATTCAATCAAATCTATATCTCATGCGAATGTAAGCCCGCTAGTTGCTGGATTGCTACAGAGGTTTGTTAGTGTTACTAGGCCAGCGCAGCATGTCCATCCACCGAGGCACACAACGGTTCACCATATCACGACCACACCGGGTCCTCCTCTGGCTGCCAAAGCAAGAAGATTGGCACCGGATCGGTTGGCTGTTGCAAAGAGAGAGTTCCAGTCGATGCTGCAACATGGAATAATAAGGCCATCAAGGAGCAGTTGGGCATCCCCTCTCCACCTCGTGCCCAAAAAGGATAAACAGTGGAGACCCTGCGGCGACTATAGAGCCCTGAACAGCAGGACAGTTCCCGACAGGTACCCCGTTCCGCATATAGAGAGTTTTTCGCAGAATTTACAAGGAAAGAAGATATTTTCGAAGGTCGATCTGGTAAAGGCTTATCACCAGATCCCTGTGGCGGAACAGGACGTGCCAAAAACAGAGGGGGGTGATGTGGCGTGCAAGCGCAAATTCCCTATAGGGGAGTTGGTAGCACGCTAGCGACGCTACCTAGCGTAGCGTGTAGGAAGTAGTCGAGCGCGGGAGAGAACGACGCCGTTCGTCATTTCATTCGTTCGCCATTAGCCATACGCGCAGTACGCATTATATATCCAGTCTTGAATAAATAGTTGTTGAGTTATCAGGGAGCGTGCGGGTAACGGTAAAACCGATACGTTTTCTCTTTGAAAAAATTGTTCTTCGACTTACTATTCACAACATCTCAATAGCGCCATCTCGCTCTCATGCCAGGAATCGCTCCTTTCCGTATTCGCCTTTAATATTCCCCTCTCACACAGCATCCCGTACCCACGCTCTACACACATACTCACCCACACACAGCCATCGCAATTATTATAAACGGCCTTATACACCCTTGGACAAAAAGATAGCATATGTGTGCTATCCTTAATTTCTTGAAAACTACTTAGAATTTTTTAATGTAATACAGACCATTCTAATTGTTACGTGGCAGAGAGAAGGAACTTCTTAGTAAATATGGTTGACCTTGCTAGGTTTTTGAGCAAGCAGAAGAACTATATAAATAGTGCTGGCGAAATGATAGCACATTCACAGAATTTATACATATATTTTCATAAAAAAGAAAGTTACATTGCAATTAATACAAAGTTAATAATGATATGATAATAATAATAATCCGCCTTTATTTTCTA